AGGTTGAGGATTCAAGGTTTGTGGAATAAGGCCTGTGAAGTTTGATAGATCATAGGCAAAGGCTAAGGGCGTGTTCACTTAAGAAAATTCTGACACAGCAAGAATCAATTGGTTTGAAACCTGATAGAGGAAGGGTGTGGTGTCCAAGTCCACAAATTCCTTCAATTGTGGATTTGGTCCACAATACATTCACATTGAGTTCAAAGGCTACCCTTAAGCTTCCCCATCTTTGCTGTTTGTACAAAGTGTACACATATACCCAATTGTCCCTCTCAAAGTCTTAGCTGCCATTGATCTCATTCATATGTCTAGCACCATGCTCACTGGCAGAGCTGTCAGAATGATTGCATGGGAGCAATTCCAGCCAGTGATCTGTTGTTATATGTGCCATTTTGTGGATAGTAAAGCTTGTGGGTAGCCTGTGGACCTATTGTGAACAAAATTTGTGATTGAAGGAAGTTGTAGACTTGGACACCACAACTTTCCCAAATTGGGCTTCAAACCAATCAATTCCCATGGTATGACCAGACATCACATTCTTTAAGATTGTGCAGCAAAACTGAAACATGCACAACCAAACAGACACTTTGAATTTTGGAGAATGCAATTCCTCCCTGGGAATTTCTCAAGTGAACAACAGATATCACATTCTGTGGATTAGTTTTGTTTTCTTATTTGTAAGAGCAACTGCACTGGTGTGTTAAATTGGGTGCAATAAGTTAAATTTCAACCCAAATGTGGGACCTTGGCCACACTGGTGAAAAATTAGTTGATGACCAAATGACTTCTTTAAAGATAAGATTATTTAAAAATCAATGGGGGGGTTTACAAAAAATTTAGAAAAGATCAAGATCATTTAAAACAAACGTAAATCAATTTATTGTGACTAACAAGTGAAATGAGACTACGTAGGCTTCTCAGGATCATAAGCCAAGTTTTCTTCCCGTCTGTTCACCCAATCGGAAACAACGCTTTTGATATCAGGTTCACCAGTAGTGGGATTCTAAATTAAAAACAAAACCATATCAAAAAAACAGTATACAAAATTGTATTTATAAGCTGCATTTGTTGGTACACTCAGTTATGTTTTAAAACTTTTTCAAACTTGAACTGCCCTTTAATTACATTCTTTGTTGCAACACCTGAACCCTGCAAGTTTTACTCTGATCCAATTTGTCTCACCTGATGATTAAAATGTCTTCTGTATCATGTTACTGTAGTCCAGCTTTTAGGATTGCCACTCTGAATAAATTCAAGACTGTACAAATTTCCTTGACAGGGCAGAAGCAATGCCAACATACAACATAACTTTCAGCATAATAACTCATCAATCAGAACACTACACAAAACACATTCAGCATGCCATAAGCTTGCACTGATCCACCTGGTTTGTATTGTAACCGCTGCAATAAGTTCAGCATATGTTTCTGTGATATTTGCAAATCCTCAGGAAGAACTTGAGATTATTCCAAAATTGCCTAAACTTAAGCAACTTGACAAGGTCCCTTACATATTTGGTCACACAGACATCCAAGATGTCTTGAATTAACAATTTATCAATATTGCACCGCATTCCAATGAGTTCATGCTGATTGAAACCCTCTTCACACTCCTCATCAAGCGGGGTTACTGATTTTGTCACAAAACACCAAAATTTGCATGCTTTGCATAATGTCATCTATAAGACCTTTTGAAAGAGACACAAACTTCCTAACAAAACCATGTGTCAATTTTTTTCTGGGACGGAAAGGACTAACATAAGTGGTTTCAGAAAACCATCATACTTGTGTGGTGCACACTTGTTGACACATGCACATCAACTCTCTTCAAGGCAAAAAGGAAATTTTTGTGTGTTTTTCAACAAGCAAGTCTAACCAGAAACAGTACACCATCCTATTTGGGGGGGTTCCAGGTGTTGTGAGATCATACTATTAATGGTGGCATGAACATCATGGCATGGTTATGGTCTGACCAGTGCTATTAGCATCAGAGAAGTTGTGATCATGATACTCATTCACTCTTACACAGAGATTCCTTGACACCACATTCAAGTGGTTTTCCTAAATCTCTCTTGAGTATATTGTAGTGGTTGCTCCTACAAGTGGGAACGGGAACTTTTGGTGCAAGTGCAATATGTGACTTTGGGTCTGTAAAATTGAGTCATTTCCTTTCAGGTTGGAGAGTTTGTTGTCAATGAGTTCAACGTTAAAGTTTGGAATTATGGAAAGGGGAACTGTCATTTGAGGGCTGCCACCAAATCATATGGGAAAGAAATTTGATACAAAGTGCAATGATCAGACAGTGATTATCAGTCTATGAAGCTTGTTCAGCCACATAATGTAACTTTTATTGTTGATCAATATGCTGAGATATATCTGGATAGTGCCAGAATGAGTGACATGAGCGAGGGATTGGTTTTTGTATAACCTTACGGCAAAGTGGGCATGTTGGAGTGATGTATGGGTTTTTGGTCACTGAGTCTACCCAATTCTATATGCAAACAGAGTTGAAGTATTAGAAATTTATTCAGAAGTAAACTGAAATTTAGAGCTTATGAGATTTACCTCCATACAATGGTGATGAAATTGGTGCTCATGGTGACATCCTGCATACACAACCTTCTGTCCATTGAAAAAATCCTTCCAGCAGATGATACAAGATTTCAATTCTTCCTCATTTTGTTTTTCAACTTCTGTAGACCCTTGGTTGTAGTGTGTAAAAATTTGGGAAGAAATCATGTATCAGCTTGGGGATATGTTGTGACATAGTTAGTTATATGGCTTGGTCTATCTGATCAGTCCAAAGCACACTAGGTGCATATGGAAATGTGGTGCTTTGAAAACATTGTGAAACAAGTTTCTACAATAGTTTAGATTCTGGCGTAACTCACCTGCAACTGGTATATCAATATTCAAAACATTTCTGGCACCTTCTATACCATATGAGGCTTTTTCCAAAATTTCCATCACAGCAATTTTACTTTTTTGATAATCATCCATAGAAGGGTACTTCTGACGTGTTTCATGATCCATATGGGCCAAATCATATTCAAAACCTTTGAGAGATTTCAAGACATACTCATAATATTTAACGGTCAATTTTTTCCATTTGACCCTTATAAATGGTAAAACAAGGTTTTCCATGTAAGGATCCCCTGCACCCTCTTTCAGAAATTTTCTTATCAGTGGCTCTAATTTTTCTTGGTGCTCAAAATATTTCTTGAATTCTTTATAAATGACTTTTGCACTTTGGGATTTGGGTTTTACAGATTCATTGTGCTTCTCAAGGTGATTTATGATGTGGAAAGTGCATATAACTTCTCCTTCTGGTGAATTTTCTTGAACCATATGGTTCTCACATCTCTCTATCAATTTTGACAGTTTATTTTCTGGAATCAGACAGCTTTCCTTTAGTAATGCGTCGTAGATGCTGATGAATTCTCGAGTGATATCAGATTTTGTTGTAGACCCTAAATACTCTTGGAGTTCGACAAACAATTCCGCTCTTTGAAGTGCCTGTGCAAGTACTTTAGGGTAAAAGAATACTCGTAAATTTGTGACTCTTTATTACAATGCGAACAGATATACCCACGAGGATTATGAGCTCCATCGTATGCAACAGTCGACCAACTCTGCTTTGCTTCAATCGACAGATTCATTTCTAATCGAGTGCCACACAAAGACATCATTTCAGATAAGTTTATTGTGGTCGATAAATCTTAGTACATACCTTTAGTCAGCCAGAGCTCCAATGCTCCACGGCAAACAAACCCTTCTTGGACATTTGTTCGTAGTGGCCGCAATTTCCCTTTTGGTAAATGGGCCTGGAGAGTCCGTAGGATCCCTAGTGCCCAAATCCTTTCATTCAATTTCAAGCTGCCCTGTTCTAGGACCTCAATTGCAAATTCCATTGTCTGTTGATACAATGAATTCTCGCAGAAGAGTGATGCTATGTTCAAAGATTGTGGGTAACGTGTTATTGTAGTAAATCCTATAGATTGGATGTGCCGACAATAGTTGTCGATACTGACGACCCCTGCAGCCAGAAGAGCGAGCTTTGAATGAAGATCTTTTTGCAAGTGTTTTCGAGCCATATCTGCATAGATTTTGAAGCCACCAACTTCTCTGAGAGATGTGATGGTCTTCCATATCATCATAGGATGTACCACAGGCAATTCTACTTCTGGTCGGAATTGAAAATCTGGATCGAGTGGACCGAAAGTTTGCAATCTTTCCAGCCTGTCAGCTGAGCTTTTGGCTGATGGAAGAAGCACCTGCCTAGATATGTCTAGGTACGACTCCGAGAGCTGCTGGAATGACGATTCGACATCCAAAAAACGTCCATGAGCGAGATTGATGACGGGTGTTTCTGAGAAATATGCCAGACCATCACCACCTATCACCCTGTATCTTTGTGTGAACTGACTTGAGACGGGGCATCCAATCATTATGGAAAATAAGGCTATTTTCATCGCCAGAGAAAGTGTCAAATATTTCACCATCTTGAAAATATACGAAAATAGAAGTCACAAGAGGGATGCTTTTGGAAGATGAAGGTTGACAATTGTGAAGAGAAGCTCCTTTTTTGCATGGTCCAGATCAAGTCCATTTCTCTAACTTGCACCATGGAAGACAGAGTCATAGACGCGGTAAATCAAGCTCGGGTCTTGAAACGACGGTATGCGCTCATGAAAAGGTTTGAATAGACATGAGTTTGTGTTTGGTATCCCTTTTGCAACTGCGGTGACTGAAATCAGATCAAAACCAAATGTATCATATCCCCTTTTAACTTCTTTATACACCGATTGATACAAGCGGTGCTATGTAGCAATGAATCGAGAACCTCGAATTCAGAACAAATTCATCATGTATGATCAACGGAATTCAACGTAAGCTTGATTTTGTGCCACAAGCGATCAGATCACGGCCCGTACTTTTGATGACACTGCTGTGGAGTGCCTGATATTGTTTCATAAAGCTTGCGGTACGTGGCATGACGAGGCTGAGATGTCCGAGCGGTCTAAGGAGCTGGATTCAAGCCTTCTACAGTTTGCATGTAATACGTGTACCTCCCAGTAGGGCAACCTGCGGGGGTTCGAATCCCCCTCTCAGCACTCATGTTTTTTGGGAAATCAGCGGGCACATTATTACATCACATTTTGATGATCATGGAATGAGGTAGGTTTGTGATCAAGATTTCGCGGTGCATACTGAGATCTCAATTTACTGCAAGACGCCGATGCATTTTCGTCGGTACTTGTGGAAAGTACCGGAGTTCAAGAAATTGAATGACATGAGGCGATTTTTTACTGAAATCGAGTGTCCAAAAATTTTCGAGCTTTTTCGAAGAAGTGCTAAGTATCTGGATCAAATGAAAGACTTTGTGACAACTCTGGGGAAGGAAAAAATGGAGAAGTTTTTTTGTTTATTTTCTTCGTCTCATGAAAGTCAAAAGGATTGGTTTTATCATGTTACACGCATGGTCGAATAAAAATTGGACAACTCTCAGTCCATGAAGGGATGACTTCTTTTATCTTGCTTATATCGGAAAATTGGTTTTTATTTGCGCTCGCGTCCTCGGCATCTCAAAATTGATACGTATTAGTCATATGAAAACATATCACGGTCGATTACTTCAAAGCAAGACTCAGAAAACACCATGTACTGAGGATTACATATCAAGGCGCGTTGAGCAGGTTGATTACTGCTCTGGCGTTGTCTGAGTCCTGGTAATTGGAAGATGTATGAAATGTCTCTCCTGAATAGTTTAGTAATCACGCGGTGTTTAAGATCATTATGATCAAGTTGAGATTGTGTTCTCCTGGGTCCAACATTGACCACGAGGCCTCGAGGGACTTGCCACATCCTTGCCGAAGTGAGGTATGTAAGTATATCCTAAGATTAGCATCCTTTTGACAAGGGTCTGGTTCATCTGAACCAAAACACTTTGTCAAAAAGTGCGTTGGAAAGATCAGACCTCATGGTGGGATGGAGTTAAGCACGTATCATATACAACTTGTCCTGCTTTGGTTTTAAGATTCATCATGTGAGGCGGTGGCTGCCTCATTTCCATGGCACATGCAAGTTCGACTTGTGCGTGTATTAATCTTCCGGGCTCCGTGCCGTGTCAAGTGGAAGAGAGCAAGTCTCAAGATGTACCCGGCCGTACACCTGCCTCACCCGCCTCTGATAAGATATTCAAAGCCGTACGGAGCGATTCACAGGGATTGCAAGGAAAAGAGAACCGTTGATTGAACAAGTCTCAAGACCAACGAACAATCCAAAGGTGTGGCTTAATGGTTTGATTCATTGATGTTTGAGTTTACACAGGGACGCATGTATGGAAAGGAGGCTTTAATGGAACTTGGAATAATCCCCAACTGTACTGTGGATGTGAACACAACTCATGATTGAAAGATAAGGTACTGAACTCAGTCATGATGAGGATTCTTTTATCATAAGTTTTTCTTTTGATTGTTCTTTTGATTCCTTTGAATTGATATCGGAGAAGAGTACAATGATCGCATCTGTATATGTTGAACTTGTATGTCCATACATTGGCTTTTCATAAATCCTCACGTCACCATATTTCATCATATTCATAAAGGCCACGCGACGCATGCAATCTCTATGCGATCAACATAACTCCATCAGTTATGCTCCCCTGAGTTGATGAAACACATTTTACTCACTCGCAGCTTCCTATTATCAGAGAAGTTCGAAAGAGAAGCTGACACCTATGCTTGCGCGTTACGATTCAATTGCTCACAGTGAGGAAGGTAGCAAAAGGGCTGTGGTTCCAATAACATTGAAATCGAAAATGTATCTTTAAGCCTCCGTCCGCTACTTGGGAGTCTTGGCTTTTTCCCCTGCCAACATACTCCTCTCATTCAGGGTCGAAGTGGCTGTCATATTTATTCCTTGAGTTTTGGTACAGAGTGGGCCAATATGCGTTTGAGAAGAGATAATTCAATTTGAAATCACAATGCCCTTTGAACTTGATTTCTTTCCCTGTCTGTGGGTTCAATTGTCGGAGAAAAGGACATTTATTTCAGGGCTACCATTGAGTTCATGCCATCATAAATACATCCAATTTTCTATAGGAGACTCAAAGGAAACCAAAGTAAAGAGCGGGGATGAGTCCATCGTTAAAGAGGGTGGTAGAAGATAGAAATTGGACGGATGGAGAAATTCCATTGAGACGGTGACCAAGGTGACGTGTATTTTCTATACAATATCACCACCCTCCAAACATTGGATGAGTGATGAAAGCACTAAAATGTTGATTTGGAAGCCTAAATGAATCTTTCTGTGGACAAGACCAGCCTTTGAAGATGATTATAATTAGAGTGATTATAGACTCTGTGTGCTAAAGGGTTGTTCAAGGAAGTAGAAAAATTGTTTGTATTCTGGCACAACTTAATCATTTGAAGGAAGAGAGACACACTTTCGTCTTTATGGCCAGGTCAAGGGATCGCGTGTGGAGATTGTTCGGAATCCTTCGAATTAAAATATGAATTCAAATAGTCTTTCATCTTGAGGTTCATGCAACTTTAGTTGTCTTCATCCAGATTCAGATGAACGATGGCTTAAAAGTGGCTCGGAGATTTCAATGAATTTTTCTATCCTTTTCCATAATTCTCTATCTTTCTTTCTCTGACGTTCTTTCCTGAATGCGCTTTTATTTTTTTTGTGATTTTACAAACTCCTGCTGGCAAACCGATCAAAGTTGGTTTAAAACTCACTCACCTATTCCATAATCTTATCCTTCCTCTCATCTTTTCTTTTGTCTATCTTATCTCATCTCATCATCAACTTTTTTGTTGAAATCTTTCATTATAAATATACTTCTTTTTCAAGACTTGATCTATCCTTTGACATAGCCCTCCTTCATATTCATACTTCATCAACTGAATCGATTGTTCCTATTATCTTTTTGCAAACTCTGCCTTGTGATTATCACTCCTTTGCTTCTTGACCACATAGTAATCAAGTCAAATCACTGTCCATAGTGCTGATCAATCGAACTTCATCCATCTCTCTGAATACCCGAACTTCAAGACATTTGACCGAACATATATATCCTGTAGGTGGTACTTGCTATCTGACATGTCCTATATGGCTAACCTTTCCTTTCCTTTCACTCACTGACCGGCTTCTCTTTTGTTTTGAATGTAGTTCAAGCGCGGAGTGGCTATATACATATTGAGGCTGAAAGGTGAGGATCCGCGTTCTGTTGACTCTACCAATATAATCTGATACCGCTCCACAATCAAAGGAGGCACCATATACCGGGTCCCCCATATACATCCCATAGGCTGGTTATATGCTGGTGTGATGATATGTGCTGCTCAGATGTTTCATGATTCAGCTCTGACTCTGAGAGTGGGTTGCAAGATTCAAGTCAGAGGCCTCAGTGAGGATTGCTTGAGCGATATCGATTGATCAATTCCATGACTTGTGTTGTTTATGAAGACTGACGATAATGCTGAATTGCATATTCTCTATGACTGTAGATCTCCTTCACTTTACTTTCCTTAGTTGCCTTTCTTTACTGTCACGACTCGCTTCCCTCCCCTGAGGCCCTAGCAGCCAACATAATCCCTTCGATATTATACATCCTGCTTTCTAACTTGCCTGATCGTCACATAATCATCCGTATGTCTCTTGGCTTTTGACTATCTATCGGACGCTCAATGTAGTGCTGAAGCTTTGCTAATTGGTCCTCCCCCATCATCTGACATCGTGTTGTGCGGCGAAGGCTTACCTGGTGAGATTGAATTCTATTTCCCCAGTGTGAGTTGAAGATCCATATCGTTCTGCATGTTGACTCGGTTTGAGAATTACCTTCCAGCAGCTTTCCAACCTACTCAAACTACGTTCACCACCCGAGCCGAACTCAATTTATATCGCTCCCTGGGGCTCATATAAAGCTCATAATATATATATATCCTACCTGTATAACCGTTAGTTCTCATGCACACTATGCATACCCTATTTTTGCCTCCCCACACCAAGGATTTTTCTCTTCATCGATACTTATATTAACAAATCTTGCACTTGACCATCGCGTTATCAAAGTGACATGGCTAATAATGAGCGACTCTCTTCACAGCCCGTCATCACGAATTCGAATATCGTGTATCAGTGGCGCCTTGTAGAACCTACATCTGCAATCGATTATATCTCCCTTGATCAGTTGGATGCTGTGGGATGTAAGCCTAGATCTTTAACTCACTTTAGGGTGTGAACTTGGCCTGATCTTTCAATTCGACAATTGTCGGGGTAACTTCGATATAGATTGGATTGTAACATCAGCCAAAATTATTCCCCATCTACCTGTTCTACTCATTTACAAAGTCTGGAAAGTGAGTACCAGGGAAATTGGCCAATCATTGGCTTCTTATCATCATCGACTCAAAGCTGAAGTTTCGAACCGTCTACGTCTCATACAACTTCAAAGTCCTTTCGTCATTTTCGCCATCTGCTTCACTTCCCTTTTCCTCAACTTTTCGTCATTCTCATCACCAACTTTGCCAGGCGAAATTCACCAGCAATCCCGCCAGAACAGTACGAGTGATAGCATCTGGATGCCTTGTTGAGCTCGTCCATTCCGGCGACAGAGTACAACACCTAACCATCAACTTCTTGTGGAAAGTTTGACCAGTTATTGAACTGACCAACCAAATTCAAATCCATCCAGCCCAAAATTATAGACCAACTTGAGAATGGCCAATTTTCTAGCCGTCAATACCCAGCAGCACCAATGCCACTATCCCAAACAGAACATCATCTTTCCTTCTAGCGCAGGATCGCCTCCAACGCCGAGCAACTTTCCTTTGACCAGATCTAACAGTAAACTTGGTCGATTCCCTAGCCGCTCACGGAGTCATTCATCCTCCGTCTCCCTCACTAATCCATCTTTTTTGCCATCTCGCTTCGTTCCCGCCCCTGGTTCTAATCGGCCACTCTCTTGTGCCACAAATCCCCATATCCCTAGATGCGTTAGCCGCTTTCGTTCACTCACCGGGTCATCTTCGTACTCAGCCACCCGCGTTAGCACTAGAGTATCACCGACACCTTCTTCCTCTAGCGCCACAATTTTTCGACCTTT